TAATACTGAGCTGTGGGGGTGGGTCTGTTTTGTGCCTTCTCCAAGAGGGTCCCACTAATGAAAAGAACCACATATTGCCTCCTGTTTTCATCTGGACTTGCCTTTACTCCCCTAGAGCCATTTGAAGATGCGCTTCGGGTCCCCCCACCTGCCCCTACCACACCAATGGCTGAGCAGCTCCGAGGGGAGCCCTGGTTCCATGGGAAGTTGAGTAGGCGGGAGGCCGAAGGGCAGCTGAGGCTCAACGGGGACTTCCTGGTTCGGGAGAGTACAACTACCCCAGGCCAGTATGTCCTTACTGGCCTGCAGAGCGGCCAGCCCAAACACTTGCTGCTCGTTGATCCTGAAGGCGTGGTAAGTTCAAGGATATATGGATGGGCTCGGGTGGGTGTGGGTGGAGTCTGGCATTCTGTCACCATCCTGAGACCTTGCTCTTCTTTGCAATTGTTTCTACTACCACCTCCAGGTGGCCTAACTCCCACTTCTTCCCACTACTAATTTCTGAGACAAACCAGTTCCATCTGCTAGGGGCTGTTTCTTTGCCCAATCCCAACGAGGTTGTGAGGCCTAATACCTAAGTCTGTTCCCTCTAGCTTGTATCCACTTAAAAACAAAAGGATATTAGAATGTTAGAGCTGGAAAAGACTTCGTTTTTTACATTCAGTTTTATTTTGTTTTTAGGTCCTTATTCACTCTCCTTCCACATCCCCCTCTTCCCAAAACTGAGAAAACAAGAAAAAACAGCGTATCTGTTATTTATTTATATATATATATATATATATATATATATATATATATATATATATATAGAGTCAAGCAAAACAAATTCTCACATTGGCTATGTAAATTCTCACATTGGCTATAATATATATAATATATATATATATTATATATATACATATATATATATATACATATATATATATACATATATATATATATACATATATATATATATACATATATATACATATATACATATATATATATATATATATATATATATATATATATGTATATATATATAATATATATATAATATATATATAATATATATATATATTATATATATATATATATATATATAATATATATATATATATATATATAGAGTCAAGCAAAACAAATTGTCACATTGGCTATGTAAAAAAGAAAAAATCCACCGCACTTGAAGTTCATTCCTTCTCTATCAGGTGCTGGGTGGCGTGTTTTATCATGCATCCTCTGGAGTTGTGGTTGGTCATTATGTTGGTCAGATTCTGGAAGAGACTTTTAGAGATTGTTTTGTCTCAATTTCTCTGATTCCTTCTTATTTTGGCCAGAGGGGTGTAGGTGCTGCAGTGGGAAGAGTGCAGGACTTGGGGTAAGAGGCTGAGTAAAGGTCACAGCTAGTTAATGGCAGGGTCAGAGTCTCCTAACTCTCAGATCCAATGTTTTCTTTCCCATAATTCCTATACTATTCTATTATCTCTCCCCACATCACTGTCTTTATCAAGAAGTCACCTTGCAAGGTTCCATAAGATCCTTAGACCACACAGAGGTACACATATGCTTTTAGCTCTTCTTCTCTAGAACTGTTAATCATTTTTCTCCCATAATATTTATCTGTTTCTTCCTCTTCTACTGTGCCTCCCTCTGGAGAGTAAGTAGGTAAATCCTTCTACTCTGCTAATAGGTATCTTTATCTTTACCCAAGTTAGGCCACTCTTATTAATTTATTTCATAGATAATGATTTCAGGCCTTTGTTTGCAATATAGGCATGCCCCTCCTTTGTCCTTCCTCAGTTTTAAAATCATCTCTATCCTTTTTCTTCTAAGAAGAACCAGGATCCCTCAGTAATAGCTGTTGGCTTAATACCCAGATCTTCCTCAATCTTAAGCATTTTCTTCATTCTTTTCATCCATTCCTACTCATCATCCCAGTTGCCTCAGTCCTCTCTTCCTAACATTCTCTGTCTTCTCTTGTATGCCTTAGCTTCTTCAGTTATAGAGAGGTGAACACTTTTCCATCTAATTCAACCATCCTTCTAACTGCCTTCCCCCACCTCCATTCCCCTACCCCGACAACAAAAGCCTTCAGTGTCTGAACTTCCTATATCATCTACCTCCAGGTCCGGACAAAGGATCACCGATTCGAGAGTGTCAGTCACCTCATCAGCTACCACATGGACAATCACCTACCCATCATCTCTGCAGGCAGTGAGCTATGTCTTCAGCAGCCGGTGGAACGGAAGTTGTAACTGACCTGATCCTGTCCCCAACCCTGTTCCAGCCTCCAGGACGCTCCCTTTCACTTTTCTGGTCCCAATTCCAACAGTTTTCTGGGGAGAAATGCTCTGGTTGCAGCACTCTGTTGTATCTGTGAGTGGCCTGAATCCTAGTGTTCAGGACCTGGAGGAGGGATTAATTTTTCTTCTCCTTCACCAGAGTATTAGTGCCCACATCAGTCTTACGGCCCTCAGATGGGCCTGGGCAAGACCCCCTAACAGGAGAAAGGAATCTTAGGGACAGTTCCAGTGGAATGGGATTTTTCTTCAAAGGGATGAAATTCTGTCCCTCCTCCAGTGTTTAAACCTTGTGCCTTTGACCATGCGCCAGGTCTAAATAAGTTTTTATGCAAAGTTTTCCTGTGGGCTAGAAATGATGATACGCCATCTGCCCCCAGGATCCTGTCCCCCAGCCCTCCCTTAGCCTGGTACGCTCAGACTGGGCTTGGGAGACTAGGGGTAGATGTGATTGCTTGCCCTTCTTCAAAGAGGATGTTCAGTCCTCAGAGCCTATTCCAGAACCCCATTTCCTGGCCAGGGAGAGGTGAATGTCCCATCCCTCTTCCTCCCCTCTGCCACATACACAGAGTGCCTCCTGGCCGGGGGCCCCCAACTCTAGGGGTCTGTATATACATTTCGTAAACATCCATTCCCCCCACCCCCAGCATTGCATGCACATTGTCCTACTTTACAGCCAAAGTGTAGCCCTTTGTAGCCTCTCCAACTCCTTTGGGTTGGACAGTGAATCCAGTGTTTGGTTCTTCTGTACAGTCAACTCTCAATTTTCTGCATTAATTTGAGGGGTAATAGTTATCTATAGCAGTGGATAATCCCCAAATAATTTTTATTTAGTTTGGGAATGTTATAGTTTTGGCAACTGAATTATTTCCTGATTTTGTCTTGCTTGAGCACAAAAGTTATCTCATCTTTATACATATAGTACCTTTTTTATTTTTTCAGAGACTTCATCTATTATATCATTTTACCATCATGACAAGCCTGTGAAATAAGTAGCACAGGCATTATTATCTCCATTTTACAGGTGAGAAAACTGACGCATAGAGAAGGTTAGGTGATCATGGAAGGCTGCAACCAGTAAATGGCCAGGACTAAAAGCCAGACCTCATCCTAGCCTAGGAAAAAGGCTAGAATTTTTAACTTTGCTGCAGAGAAGCCTCAGAGGGGATCATTCAAAGCAATGTATTTATTGAGTACCTGTTGCTAGACATTGTGAGGAATACAGAAGAGGTAGAAGATACTCCTCCTGAGGAGTTGTGGATAATGGAGAGTTGACTGTATCTTTATCTCCTCCTCTTCTGTTTCTCTCTCCTACCCTTATTTTGTTTGAATCTATTCACGGGTCTCACTTATACCAAAGGGAAATGTCATTAAAGATCATTATTTCTTTTATCAAATGTCTCCTTTTCGATCCAACACCCTTTCTTCAGTTCCTTTGGGGCCTGCTTGGGGTCAGGGGAAAGGAAAGCAAGCTCTGACCTCAACTACACGTGAAGGGAATGTGTATGTGTTATGTTTGCGCTTGTATGTATCTGTTTGATAGACTTGTGGTAGGTGGTTGTGGTAGTGTGATAGAAGGGGTAATGGTGTGAGGTATCACTGTAGGAGGGATATAAGGGTGTTAGTGTGTGTTGTATTACTCCAAGGGATGTGTGGATGAGATGCTGATACTTGTTTGGGTGCAAACGATATGCTGTGAACGTGTTTGCATTTGGTATGGATATGTAGGAGAGATGTCTGAGTGTTAGGTGATGTTGATATGATTGTGTCTAGGTATGTAGGAGTGATGTCAAGGTGGGATATACTGTTAAAGTAATATTGGTTAGAATTAATACATTTGTGATAGTGACATGGCTGTGTGTATTATGACTGTCTGGGTATGCTGTGATACTGATGTGGTTGTATTCAGGAAAAGCATATTTTAGAAGGGATTTAGAGGTATAGTATCATTGTTGAAACTGTGTCTGCCTGTAACATCACTATAGAAAGGGCAGATGGGTATAAGTGACATGGTTGTGTGTCTGGGTATGGTATAGGAGCCGTATGTGGCGGTGATATATATGGTTGTATATATGATTGTAGTATTAATGCAGGTGTGATAGTGATGTGACTGTCTGGGTGTAGTATCACTGTAGGAGGGGTGGATATGTATGTGACAAGATTGTGTGTGTGATGGTGACATGGCTTTGTATATGGGGGTAGTATTGCTAGGAGGGGTGAATGGGTGTGTGATGCTGACACAGCTGTATATCTGGATGTAGTTTCCACTGTAGGTGGGGTGGATGGGTTTGTGTGTGTGACACAGCTGTATATGGGTCTGGGTATAGTACAGTATCACTGTAGGAGGGGTAGATGATTGTGAGTGTGATAGAGCTGTACTGTCTGGGGGTAGCACCCCTGGGAAGGGTAGGTGGATGTGAGTGTGACAGTGACAACCTGTACTCATGTCCGGGGGTAGCACCCCCGGGAGGGCGGGATGGGTGGGTTATTCGTGCGCGCAGGCCCTGGGCACCAAGTCGGCCGGGTCTGAATCCAGGATGACAGTCTGCTAGAGAATGGCGAGCGCCGTGGTACGCTCAGGCCTGGCTGGACCTTCCCCCTGGAATCCGGGACTGCCGGGGCTCTGTGCTGATGGTAGAGTCCTGGTTTCCGCCTGCTTGTCTCTTTCTTCCCTCCCCACGGAGCTGGAGTGGTGAAGCCCGGGCCGAGTTCCGGTTCCGGTCCTAGCGGCGGGTGAGCGGGCGCTGAGTCGGGAGGGAGTTTCCTATCCGCTCTGGGGCCCGCTCCCTCCTCCGTGCTGCCCAGGATGGTACTGCCCAGGGGCCTGCGCTGGCCCTGATCCCCCACTTTGGGAGATGGTGCAGGCCGGGGGCTCCTTGCCCCCCCGCCGCCGTTACGGCGGCCGCCGCCGCCGCCGCCGCTACTGACCCGCGCCCCCGCCCCATGGCCGCCGCGGCGCCGCCCCCCCCTGACAAGCTGGAGGGAGGAGGCGGCCCCGCCGCGCCGCCAGCGCCGCCCAGCACCGGGAGAAAGCAGGGCAAGGCCGGTGAGAGCGGGGGCGGGGGGCTGGGGCTGAGGAGGGGGCCCAGGCAGAGGAGCCCGGGATGGCGATGGGGGTGGGGGGCCTTAGGTGGAGGCTTAAAGGCATAGGAAGGATCCCAGGTAGAGTAACCTGAGATGGGAGGGTCTGGTGGTGAGGGGGGTGTCTTAGGCTGAGGGTTGGAGGGCTAGGAGGGGTCCCAGGTAGAGGAGTCTGGGGTGGGGGTGGGGGATCTTAGGCTAAGGGGTTTAATGTTAGGTGGGTATTCCAGCCTGAGTTTCGGGGTCTAGGGGTTTGAGGTCTGAGGCTGAGGAATCTGAGGTTCCAGGTTGAAGCGTGTGTGATAGCAGACTCAGAGATCGTAGGTTTGGAAGAGTCGTCAGGGCAGCGGCATGAGAGTTGTGATTTGGATCTAGGGATTAGGGTGGGAGTTTCTGGCTCCTGGGCTGAGAAGTCTGGGGCTTGGGGGACTCATGGTTTGAGGAGTCCAGAAGGCATTATAAATTGAGGTATATTAAGGGTTAGGGGATTCGTAGACTGAGAAGGGATTGTTTTTACAATTTTATAATGACTAATGTCCCTTGGAATTCTCCTTCTTTGCTCCTGTGAAGTCTGGGGGTGAGGGGTAGACGTCCCAGGAAAGGATTTGTAGGGTTTGAGGTACGGCCATCGAGGAGCATTTATTTATTAAAGGTTTATTATATATATGCCAGGCACTCAGCCAACCACTGGCGATACAAAAAAGGGCAAAAAACAGTACTTTGCTTCAAGAAGTAAATATTCTAATGGAGGAGACAATATATAAACAATCAAGTATATACAAAGTAGATGGGAGGTGATCTGAAAGGTAGCTTTAGCAGCTAGAGGACCCAGGAAAGGGCTCCCAAAGATGGTGAGCCTTGAGCTGAGATTTTTTTTAAATTTTCAGTTCCAGTCCTTCCTCCGCTCCCTCCCCCAACCTTTGAGAAGGCAGGAAATATGATACCCATATGAAGTCATGCAAAACATATTTCCACATTAGCTATGGGGGGGGCGCCAAGAAAAATACAGTGAAAAAAAGATACTTCAATCTGCATTCAGAGTTCATAAGTTCTCTCTCTGGAGGTGGATAGCATTTTTCAAAATGGGTCCTTTGGAATTGTCGTGAATCATTGTCTTGATGCAAGTAGCTAAGTTTTTCACAGTTGATCATCCTTACAATATTCTTGTTATTGTTTCCAGTGTTCTCCTGGTTCTGCTCTCTTCTCTTTGTATCAGTTCATATAAGTCTTCCCAGGATTTTCTGAAGCCATTCCTTTCATTTCTTACAGCAAAATGGCATACCGTCACAATAGCATACCATAGCTTGTTTAGCCATTCACCAGTTGATGGGTATACCCTCAGTTTCCAAGTCATTGCTGCCACGAAAAGAACTGCCATAAATATTTTTGTACAAATAGGTCCTTTTTATTTTTCTTTGATCTCTTTGGGGTATAGACCTAGTAGTGGTATTGCTAAGTCAAAAGGTATGCATAGTTTTATAGACTTTTGGAGATAGGTCCAAATTGTCCTCCAGAATGGTTGGATCCTTTCTCAAGTCCACCAGCAGTACATCAGTGTCCCTGTTTTTCCTTGTCCCCTCCAGCATTTGTCATTTTCCTTTTACATCTTGTTAATCTACTAGGTGTGAAGTGGTGCCTCCGGGTTGTTTTAATTTGCATTTCTCTAGTCAGTAGTGATTTAGAGCATTTTTTGTATGACTATAGATAGCTTTGATTTCTTCTGAAAACTACCTGTTCATATCCTTTGACCATGTATTAATTGGGAATGGTTGAACTGAATCTCAAAAGAAGTCGGGGAGACTAAAAGGAAAAGGTGAAGGGGGCAGAACATTGCAGGGGTACAGGACAGTGGGTACAGAGGCATCTGGATTTATAGCAGGTGCTATCCTCTGCATCCAGGTTGCTGAGAGAATGGGCTGGCCATGCATCCAGCAGGGTTTCTAAGGTTGTTAGAGTCGATCTACTTCTAAAATTGAGGAGGGCCCTTCATTGGGACCAATCTGAAATGCATGCCAGCTCCTAGAGAACTCTAGCCAGATCCTTAGTCTTAGAGACTTAGGCCTGAACGAGCATCTGGGGGTCAGTAATCAAGGAGTCCTAAACTGAAGCTGTGAAACACTCCTTTAAATCCCAGACTAAGCCTGGGGTTTTCTTCCTCTTCATCCTTTCCTCCCTTGCAGTCTTCAGCCTGGGATCCCAACTCCAGTGGGAGCTGGGAGAAGAGCTAGGCCTGGATTGGGAGTAGTACATAGGACCTATAGTATTGAGGGAAGAGGCTTAGATATGGAAGTGACAGAGGAGATTTGGTGACTCAGGGCATGGCTTTGGGGAAGAGGGTTTAGGAGGCCTAGATTACCAATGTCTTGGAGACTCGTCCTCCTCAACCATTCTTTCCCTCTCCCAGGTCTGCAAATGAAGAGCCCGGAAAAGAAACGGCGCAAGTCAAATACTCAGGTGAATGTTGTATATTAGATGGGGTGGTTGTCTTTTCCCATTAGCCTTAGGGATGCCAAGATTTTGGTTTTCATATGACTATCGTACTTTAAAGCTTTAGTGTTCCCATCTATTCCCTGGACCAGGTACAGGAAGAGAAGACGTGGAAGAGTTCCTATTGGTGCTGTTTTATAGATCTCTTCTTGGTCCATTCACTACCCCTTCAGTCTTACCCTGAAGTGGATTGGGTTTAATTATTTAAAAGCCCTTTCCCACTCTAAATCCTGTAGTATGAGTGAGCTAAGAGACATGGTTTGACCAAAGGTTCCTCTTTTGGTTAGGCTTTGTCAACGCGCAAGATCATTCCCTATCTACCATATTTTCTCTGTTGTTTCCATAGTCCCTTGTTCCCTTCTATTGTAAGTGAATTGTATTTCTGGATCTCCCTTCCTGTTCTCCAGGTCTTTGGTTTCCTCTATTCTTTCACCTGTAACACCCCCTCCCCTTCTTTGTCCTTCCCCTTCCTAGGGCCCTGCATACTCACATCTGACGGAGTTTGCACCACCCCCGACCCCCATGGTGGATCACCTGGTGGCATCCAACCCATTTGAGGATGACTTTGGGGCCCCCAAGGTTGGGGGGGCAGCTCCTCCATTCCTTGGCAGCCCTGTGCCGTTTGGTGGATTCCGTGTGCAAGGGGGCATGGCAGGCCAGGTGCCCCCAGGCTATGGTGGTGGAGGCGGAGGCGGGCCTCAACCACTTCGACGACAGCCTCCTCCTTTCCCCCCCAATCCAATGGGTCCTGCCTTCAATATGCCCCCTCAGGGCCCTGGGTACCCACCCCCAGGTAACATGAACTTCCCTAGCCAGCCCTTTAACCAGCCCTTGGGCCAGAACTTTAGCCCTCCTGGGGGACAAATGATGCCAGGCCCTGTGGGAGGGTTTGGACCCATGATTTCACCTACTATGGGGCAGCCTCCCAGAGGGGAGCTGGGCCCTCCTTCCCTTCCCCAACGATTTGCCCAGCCAGGTGCTCCTTTTGGGCCTTCACCCCTTCAGCGGCCTGGTCAAGGGCTCCCAAGTCTACCCCCCAACACGAGCCCCTTCCCTGGTCCTGATCCTGGCTTCCCTGGTCCTGGGGGAGAGGATGGAGGGAAGCCCATAAACCCTCCTGCAGCAACTGCCTTCCCACAGGAGCCTCATTCAGGCTCACCTGCTGCTGCTGTCAATGGCAGCCAGCCCAGTTTCCCCCAGAACAGTGGTGGTCGGGGTGGGGGCACCCCAGATGCCAATAGCTTGGCACCTCCAAATAAGACTGGGGCATCGGGGCACCAGCCCCCTCCAGGCTTGGTGTACCCATGTGGGGCATGCCGGAGTGAAGTAAACGATGACCAGGACGCCATTCTGTGTGAGGCATCATGTCAGAAGTGGTTCCATCGTGAGTGTACTGGCATGACAGAGAATGCCTATGGGCTGCTGACCACGGAAGCCTCAGCTGTCTGGGCCTGTGATTTCTGCCTCAAGACCAAGGAGATCCAGTCTGTCTACATCCGAGAGGGCATGGGGCAACTAGTGGCTGCCAACGAGGGGTGAAGTGGGCACATTCGGTGTGGGGCCAAGCACTCTCCTTGAGGACGATGGACCTTTCTCCTCTTGTGGCTCTTGGTCCCAGCTCCCCACTCATGCTGGGAGGAGGCATAGTGACTCCTGGGGGTAGGAGAAGGGATTTACTGGGCAGGAGAATGCCCAGACCTCTCTCCTTGGAACCTGCCCGTGAAGGGCTAAGAAAGAATCCCCTGGGAGGTCAGAGCCCCAGTGAGCAGTGCCATTCTCTGATTGTCCAGGGTATCTTAAAGAGGAAAAGATAGAGGGGGAGGATATGAGTGGATATTATTGGTTAGGGGCTGCATTTCTTTGCTGGTGCCAGACGCCTTCTAGTATCTCTGCCTAACACTGCTACCCTACTCTGAAGGATAAATTCCTGAATGATTTACCCCCTCTGGCCAGAGGTAATTGTCAGGGTTTTCCCCCCATTCCTTCAGTGGCCTACCATAGGGCTTTAGCCCAATGCAGAAGACAGTATTAGACAATGAGTGGAACCAGTTGGTCGGGGTCATCCCTTATTTTGAACTATTCCCTTTGCACTGGCTTCTCTCTTTTGGAACCAAAAGGCTTTGAGGAAGCTAGATGAAGGTCTGAACCATAACATTCCTGGAGATTTTGGTGGCAGGAGGATCAGAATGGTTGAGAGATGGTGTTCTTGAGACAGTCCCCTCCTTATACCAAAGTCACAGGTCCCTCCCACCCCAGCTTCAGTCTACTCATCTCCTGGTGCGTGTCATGCTTTCTCACCCCCAAGACTTTGTACATCTCTTATACATTATCCTAAACCACCTTTTCCAAATCTGCCCTTTTACCTATAGCTCCTGTGTCATTGCTGTGCTGAGACCCCAAGAAAAGAACAGAAACGCAAACAATTTTCTCAGTCATTTATTTCAGGTGTTCTTATAGGATAAAAATGAAGGTTTACCCATTTGAATGGTGCAAGGTTACCCGCAATCTTGGGGTCCTTATGGGGGAGGGGGAAGGGAAAAATTGGGTATTTTCATACTTTTTCATTCCCCAGCCCCTCAGCATCTCCTGAGGCTTAATAATGATCCAGTAATTTAAAATCTGATTCTCATCAGCCCTTTACAATGTATTTTCTCTGTTGATAAAGCCACTTGGCTGATGGAGACAGATGACTGCCTAGCATAAAGCCTTTCTGGTTAACCCATACTGGTTCTGAGGTATGTGGGTACCCTGCTTGCCCTCTCTCCACCCAAATGATACCCTCAGCTTGCATATCAGCTCTCCATTAGTGACTGGGGGTGAGGTTTAGTCATCTCGAAGGAATTAGCAGCCTCCAGCTGTGGGTACTCAGTCCTTTAGTTAAGGAGGGAATAATTGAAAAGGGACCGAGATACTTTTTTCCCCCTCTGTTCCTTAACCAGATGCCTTGGTCCTTCCATCAGCGAAGCAGCATAGCAGCTTTCCTCAGTTCCAGAGCACTTGGATAAGATAACTCCAAGGCTATGGGACTGGGCATCTAAGTTTCTTGTCTGTTCTTCCAATACTCAGAGCTCTTAATTTCTGAAGAGAGTGGTCCCGTTCCTTTTCCCCTGGAAAAAAAGAACAATGAAAACAAAATACGAGAAGTAACTGAGCACAGATGGATGGACAGCCACACTGTTAAATTTTGTGTTATGTTTTGGTTTGCCTCTGGTGTCCCCTCCCATTATCTATTGCTATTTTTGTGCTTTTTCCCTTCTATTTTCTTTCCCCTGTTTTGCAAAGTGCCACCCCCTCCATCCACTAAGAGTAGGATGGAGTGGGCCGAGGTGGATTGGCATTGGTGGGGCCTTTGGTCTTTTTGTATGGTTGGATTTATAAAGTGACTTGAAAAACGACTTTAGATCTCCGACTTGTGTTTGGGAGAACAGTGGGTGGGGTATCTCTAATGCCACTAACCACTTGCAGGCCTCAAATCTTGTTGAGGACCCCTTTACTGTCTCCTGTGTGCATTTGCCCACCCCCTTACCTTGCTGGAGAACATGCCGGTAGTCGACTGATTTTTTTTCACACTGCTTGGGTGTCTGTCCCAGGAGCTGGGAATTGTATCTGTACCAGCCGTGAAGAGTGAGGGCCTGGTTGGAGGAGACATGGACCAGAGGCTGGCATGCGGGGTTGCTGCGCAGCTCCCACGGGGAGTGGAGCCGCCGGAGGCCTGTCCCCTCCCCGTCTGTCCAGGTCGTGAGAAATGGACTGCGAGTTTCCTTTCTGGGCTCATTCCCGGGGTTGAGCCTCGAGCCAAAGCTTTGACGCCAAGGCCCCGGAGGCCAGGGGAGAGGCTCGGCTGCCGGGCGCTGGGAGGAGGAGGGAAGGGGGGCGGCCGCAGCGCACGCTCCCATCGTCCATCTTACCGCAGCTGCCCTCGTCCATCCCGGGCAGGTTAGCCTCATGGCCCCGGAAGCGGCCATCTTCTGTGAGCCCCGAGGCCCCTGTTCGGACCAGCGCTGGGGGGCGGCAATGGTGCTCGAGGCCGGCTCTCAGCCTTCCTCCCCGCGCAGACCTGACCGCGGGAGCCCGGGCCTCGCGGCCCCACCGCCTCACCTCCCTCTCCCATTGGTCCAAAGTTTTTTTCCCCGGCTGGGGAGCCTCTTCCCCATTGGTCCTTGGGGTGTCACGTGTCCCTCCCTCCACTAGAGGTCGGAAACCCGGGGATCCGGGAGCAAGTTGATCGAAGACCGAGGCCACCCCGGAGCTGGGTCAGGTAATGTCCTCTAGCTGGGGAGCGAGGGGCGCGAAGGAATGGGGTGCCCGGGGGCATCTGCTGGCCCGTCGGGAGGGGCGGGTTCTACTCGAGGTCCACCCCGCCACCCCCAACTGCCCTCCCCCCCAGTCTTTCCCGTGGGCGGAGTGGAGAGAGTGAAGCCCGCCCGGCCCGAGGACGCGGGGATGGAGAGATTGACAGGGACGACAGGTGAAGCCGCCCGACCCCGCGTGTAAGGACTCGTAGGGCCGTCTGTTTCTTGACCCCGGCTGCCTTCCCTGCCTTCGTCTAGAAACGGGCTTTTAGGTATTTCGACCCAGGACGTCTCATGGCTTCCACCACCCCTCCCTGAAGAGATTACCAGTGGTGGGGTGGCTGGAATGCTGGACGAGCTGCATTGGGGAAGACCTGAGTTCAAGTGTTGCCTCAGGCACTTCACCAATTCCTGTCCCAGTTTCCTCATTTATAAAGTGGGTATAATAATAGCAACTATCTTCTTGGGGTTGTTAGGAGTCAGAACTAGACAATAGTTTGTAAAGCACTTTGCAAACCTTAAAGCAGTGTGTGTGTGTGTGAGTGAGTGTGTGTGTATACTCGTGTGTATACGCTATTATATGACTCAGAGGGAAGGAAGAAAATAGGGATTCTTGTCAAGTACATGTTGACCTGGATAACATCCAGGTTCTTGAGTTCTTTATAACTCAGAAATCCTGTTCAAAGTTAGAACAAGGGAGAAATGGAGGTTTGATTATACTCATGGTTGACACATAGCTCTTTAAGGTTTGCAGAGCTGTCTACATGCTTTATTTCGTTTTCTCCTCACTATAACCCAGTGAGTTAGGTGCAACAAAGTATTTTTATCCCCATTTTACAGATGAAGAAACTGAGACTCAGATGTGATTTCTTTTCCCCCATAGCTATTAAGTGTGGCATTTGAATACAGGCCTTTCCAACTTCAAATCCAGGGCTCTTTGCATTTTTATCATGCTGCCTCAAAGGTAGTAGAAGCCCTCAGGGACCTTAGAGATTTTACAGATGAAGAAACATACCCAGGGAGAAAAAGGGACCTTCCTCACGATGCTGCACGGAAGGGAACCCTAGGGACTCCAGAAAGCTACTCCAAGATATGTCAGGGTACTAGGAACCCAAGATGCTTGGGTATGAGCCTTTTTCTTGTCTGGGTCTCCCCAGGGTGGGAGAGAATGTCTTGATGACCTAAATATTAGTCCTCACCCCTGTGGTGACAGTGGGCCTGACATCACCTTGATTGCCGTGGTGACCATTGCTGGGGGACTTGAGCATGCTGTGCCAGAATGAGGGGTAAACAGATATTTTACCAGTGGTGACTTCTGCTTCCTTCCTGTTACTGCCTGTCAACAATCTTACCTAGTAACTAAGAGGCCTGTAGCAGCTGGCTGGCAGATATAAAAGAGAGAGCCTTGAGGTGGAAGAAAGAGATAGGGCTTCAATTCACAAAATGTTTATGATACACCACTGTGTGCAAAACACTGTGTGGTCCTGGAGAGATTCAAAATTCAGGTGAAGCCCCTGCCTTAAGTTAGTAGTGGGGGCAGGTCATATAACATGTATTATTTTATAATGTATTTGTGTAAGTTGCCATGTGAAGTCTAGGGAGGTGGGAGGAAAGAGGCATTAGAGAGAACTTTTTGGAAGAGCTGGCATTTGAGCTAGATCCAAAGGAGTGAGTAGGGTTTCAGTAGATAGGCAGAAATGGGAAAAGGATGGGGGCAGCTAGGTGGCATGGTGAATAGAGCTCTGGCCTTGGAGTCAAGAGGGCCTGAGTTCAAATCCAACCTCAGACACTTAACACTTAGTAGCTGTGTGACTCTAGGCAAGTCACTTAGCCCCAATCGCCTCACCAAAAAGCAAAGAAATAAAAAATGGGAAAGGGTGATGGCACTGGGGGCATAAAGAGCATCACATGAGCATCTTCGTGGAGGAAGGAAAGAAAAGGATCTGAAGAGTTCAATTTAGAATTTGGAGTATGTGAAGGGGAGGAGGGGCATGAGATACTGTATTTTGAAGTCTTCAATTCAGTTTGGCTAACATTTATTAAGTACCTCTTGTATATAGTGCACTACAATTTATGGAAAAGACAAAAATTAGATAGTTCTTGCCCTCACGTAATTGGTATTTTACTAATGAGATACCTTTGAAGGCCAGATTAAAGAGTCTGAAATTTATTTGGTCAGCAGTTAGAGGATTTTGAGCTAGGGAGTGACATAAAATTTTCGCATCAGGGAAATTAGTCTGGTAGCTGTGTGAATAGAGGAGAGAGTAGAAGCAGCAAGACCGATTTGGAGGCTGTTGCAGCTGATGAGATAGTGTTGGGAATGAAAAGGATAGTACAGATTGGACAGACTTTGTGAAGAAGAGTCAGTAGGGTCTATGGGAAGGGAGGTGGTGAAGGCCAGAGAAGCAAAGTTACCATCTGAGTTTTGAACATGGAAGACTGAGATTTGGAAGGTGGTCTCCAGTGGAGTGCCCCAGCAATCCATGCTTGGTGGTATGTTGTTTAACGTTTTTAATCAGTGACTTGGACAATGACATAAATGGTGTACTCATCAAGCTTCCAGGTGGATAGCTGGGAAGTGGGAGTAAGCATGCACATGACAGAATCAGTATCCAGAAGGTTTGGGACAGACTAGAAGGATAGGCTGAATCTATGATGGTGGAATGATAATAATATAGTCCATAGGAGGATTGTACCTTGAGCAGAGGAGTGCTTAAGAAATACTTGTGGATTGTTGGGGTAGTTGGTCAGCTAGGTCTGGTAAACAGTTGAAAATGCAGGTCTGGAGCACAGTAGAGTGAAGCTCTGGGATAGCAAGGCAGAAACATGGGAGTCATTTGTACAGGGTGATAGCCAAAGCCATGGTAACTAGCAAGATTGGTGGTCACGAGAGAAAAAAGAGAAGAGGGCTGGGGACCGAATGTTAGTGATCACCCACCTAGAAGGGTAGGTATGAAGGCAGAAGTGCTATGGAATTGGAGTAGTTATCTACTTAGGAAGAGAAACAGAAGTGCGGAATGTCTGAAACAGAGAAGCAGGAGTATTTAACAGCAAGGGAGTGGTCAGTTTCAAAAACTGCCAAGAGGTCAAGAAGGATGTGGACTGAAAACTATTGGATTTGGTAAGAAGGAGGTCACTGGTGACCTGAGAGAGGAATTTTAAGTGAAGTGATGGGAGTGAAGAGAGAGTATGTGGTAAGGCTGTAGAAGCCTCAGCTGTAAATGGCTTTTTGAAGAATTCTGGCAGTGAAAGTGTGGGTCTGTCAAAAAGAAATGACATAGTAGCTAGATGGGTTTGAAAGACTGAACAAAGGCTTTTTTAGGATTAAGGGGAATCTAGTTATGTTTGTAAGCACGGGAGAAACAGCTAATAGAAAGGGAGAGACTGAAAATGCATGAAAAAGGGTACAATCGACTAATCCAGAGGAGGAGTGGGAAGGGAAGAGAGGTTAGGCACGTGTAGCTGAAGGCAGATCGGTAGGTGTTTAGAGAATCTGGACTGAATTCTGACAAACTCTAGCAATCTGCCTCCCCATACTGGTCTTAAGCCTGCTTAGATATGGGTGCAGTGCAGTTGGAGCGTTTATTGCTTTTAAGGGAGAAATTGTTGTTCTCTTTTCCCTTTAGTCTAAAGTTTTTTCATAGTGAAATCATTTGCAGGGTAGAGGGACTCTAGTTTTAATCTCTCCTGTTATGGTTTCTGGAATCCTTAATAGTGCCACTAAGATTGCCCTAGGGCCTAGGTCTTATCATCCATTCCCCAGGCTGTGTCCTTGGCTTTGGGCCCTGCAGGTACTTACTTTGTGATTGGATTTGGAGTGGGAAGACTTAGGTCCAGTCTTTTGCTTTCTTCCTCTAAGATGTTAGGCAAATTGCCTGAGGTCCTTTGTTTTCTCTACTGTTAAAACAAGGGGTTTGGCTTAGGTGGTCTCCACGATCTTTTACAGTTAAGTGATAAATGACCTTAAGCCACATGTATTTAAATCCTCTGGTGGATAGTAGCCTAAAGGAAGTACAATTTTCGAACCTTGCTTAGGATGCAAAACTACTTTGTCCAGAATTTGCCCCCCTCCCCCACCCCCTTATTAGCTCAACGAACAGCTCAGTATATAGAGCAGTGGGCCTGGAGTCAGGAAGACCTGAACTCAAATCCAGCCTCAGACACTTAGTAGCTGTGTAAACCTGGGTGAGTCACCTAACCCTGTTTGCCTCAGTTGCTGACTTGTAAAATGAACTGGAGAAGGAAATGGCAAACTAACCAGTATCTTTGCCAAGAAAACCCCAAATGGGGTCCCAAAGAATTGGACATGACTGAACAGCAACAACATTAGCTGCCATTTATACAGCATTTTATGGTTTATAGAGCACTTTTCTCATGATTCCCACCTAACAGTTAAGGAAACTGAAGTTCAGAGGTACATTCGTTTGCCCCACGGCCACTCAGATTGTGCAGAGCTAGGATGTGAACTCCGGTCTTGGCTGCAAACCCAGCCCTTTTCCTACTGCTCTACCTTTGGGGGAGGGAGAGCTTGGTGATAGTAAGGGAATGCATTGTGAAGTTAGAAAGCTGGCGTTTGGAGGAGAGGGAGATTGAGGAAAGACATTTCCCCTGAGGCTGCAAGATTGAGGATTGAGGAAATGACTCCTGGCATAGCCTGAGGGAATCGGGTGAAGCTTCTTTCTGTGCCAGTGGGGAAGGGGAAAGACAAAATAACTGAGGAAACAGGTTCAAGCTTCCAAGCCTATCAGTTTATTACACAGTACATGCTAACCTCATAACAAATCAGGCCCAGGCCTCCTCAGCTTGGGACACCCCCCGCCCCCAAAGTGAAAGACAGATTTTTATGCATTCAAAGATAACAATAAACAGGATACAAAATAGGTCGTCTAATTAGGTAAGGTGATTTCTAATTGGAGGAAAGGTTAGGCTGGGCGGGGATCCTTCTGCCTTGAGGCCACAAGTAGCCTTCTGTGTCCTTGGGTGTGGCCTTTTGACTGAGTCCAAGTTTTACTGAACAAATCTTTTTATGAAGGGGATTTGTTCTGTGAAGTTTGGATTCAGTCAAAGAACTGTACTTGAGGACCTAGAGGGTCACACGTGGCCTACCAGGCTGCAGGTTCCTCACCCCTGCCTGAGGCCTTGGGTAAGTCTCTTCTTCTTTCTGGGACCCAGGTTCCTGATCTGTAAAGTGAGAGGGTTTAGCTCTGTGAACTCTATGGTTCCTTCCAGTTCTAGATCAAGAGCCTTGTGATCACGACACCTGACACATGAACTCTTTCTGAGTTGGGAAGGGGAGAGCGAACAGGTGCAGTTCCCTGTCCCACTTTCCCCCCCTCCCCCAAGTGTCTGTATCCAGTCAAAAGAACATGGAAACAGTAATTGATTAACCAGTGCAGGCTGGTTTTGGGCTAAGACTTGGGTTGCTCGAGATGTATAATTGTGAGAGAACTCCTTGTAGTAGTCTTTGGATCTGACCGGTGTCCGGTCAGCACAACCTCAGTCCTTAATTAAGGATCTCTAAGGGTCAGATAGAGAGAGCCACAAAGGACTAAGTTTAAACCTTGCAATAAGGTTTTCTTACAATCCCCACAATTGAATAAAGCTTTCTCACAGAACAAAAGTCGTACTAGATCATAAATGAATAGGAAGGGAACTGCGCTAGCTCCAGAATTGGGTCACAAGATGGAGTCAGTGTGGTTTACTCAATTCCCACAGCTTTGAGGGGGAGGAGGAGAGTGGGGTGTGGGGATTGGAGGAGGAAGCAGCACTGTAGGAGTAATTGAGTTTTCCCTTCTGGGCATGAGATCTCAGTTAAAAGGGAGGGTAACTGTAGTGACTGAGAGATACCATGAAAGCATGGGGTACTAGGCGGAGAGATTTGGAGCTGAAAGGGACCGTAGAGGTCTCCTAGGCTAACCCCCTTCGTTTACAGATGAGCAGGCCAAGGCCATAGAGTAGTAAGTAGCAGAGTCAGGATTCCAACCCAAGGCCCTGTGCCAGGTGCCTGTGAAGCCGGGGCCCTCTCTGCAGCACCATGTTGCCTTCTGGTCATCCTACTTGATAAGGAGAGGAAAGTGCTGCCTACAAGTCAGCAGATCTGGGTTCTTGTCCCAGTCTCCCTAGGCTACAGTTTCAACTGTAAAAATGTGGGAATTGAACTAACTGATCCTAGCTCTGAAATTCTGTGTCCTTTCAAGGTCACATTCTTGCAGGCCAACCAATCCCTAGGAGAAGCATAATCTTTTGTGAACGTTTGCAGATACTCATTTGCAAGTCAAATGTTGCCCACAAAGTTGGTAGCTTTGGCCTTAGAAGGACCCAAAACTAGGGCAGGGTCCTTGAGGCTGGACACTGCACTCTGCTGCTCACCTCTTCCTCTGCCTCCTAGCTCTTCTTCCCTTCCTCCTGAGGTGACCTCTAAGAGAAGATCTCATTTCTAAGCATTTTTCTCAGCAGGTGGTGTCCGTTGAGATCCCCAGGGACAGACCAGCTATGGAGTCTTCCAGCCCGGAGTCGGACAATAGCTGGGTGATTGCTGGCTCCGAGGTAAGATGGGGGGGGGGGGAGGCTGGGAACTGCATGGGAGAGCCAGAATATGTCTGTGATGGGGAAGGGATTCCCAAAGACTTTAACGTCGGTCAGTCTATCCCTCTTCAATTCTGAGTGTCCTTCTACTTGCATCCTTGGGTGCTGCAGTGGGGGGGGGGGTAGAGAAGAAGAAAGAAGCCTAGAAGATGGAGACAGTATTGTACCCCACCCCCACCCCTACCCCCAAGGATGCTGACCCAGACCCAGGGACAAAAAGATAAAGGTAGCCAGACAGAAGGCATAGTTATCAGTGCTTGAGATTGGGAAGCTGGTAGGATGAATGGAGCCAGGGTCATTAATCTGGAAAGGCTTCTTTGAGAAGTCTAGTGCAAAATATGATGAGAGCAGGTTAGAAGGTGTCTCTGAAGGGTTGGAATGATCCCTTCTGTGGGGAGTGGGTGAGGCATAGGTGGAAATAACGGCACAGGTTTGCCCGGGTGGAAGAATGAAGTCAGGATGGTAGTAGAAGGAGGAAGGGAGAGGAGCCTTATGAACCATGAAAACCTTGAGGGAGAGGCAGGAAGGAACGCCAGGTCCTGGGGAGGCAGCTGACATCCAGACGTGCACTCGGAACCCACTCTCTCCCTTGCTACTTTGGTGTAGATTTGGATGCCAGGGACAATGGCTGGGAAACAGCCAGGATGTTCTCTGTTGGAGGTAGCGAAGAGGGATAGCTGGGTTCACTATATACTTCTGAACCATCAAGTAAGGGGAACCAGAGGAAGGAGCAGGCTCATTGAGGAGAGAGGCGATTCAAATCAGCACTACAAACATGTATTTCTGTGTTCAAGTCACTGTACCGGTGATGCAGAAATAAAGACAACGGATATATGGATAGACGCTGCAAGGTCAGCAGTTGTACCATATCTTGAGCACCTCCTCTCTACCTAAGCAGTGAGCCAGAGGCTGCAGGGTACACCGAGGTGAACGCAGCACAGACGCTGCCTGCCCCCTGGGAGCTTACAGGTCTCACAGCCTAAGGTGGAGAGACGGAATTTAAAGAGAGGGAGGAAAATGCCATCGTAAAAGTAGCACAGAGTAGTACAGGGGGGAGCAAAGTTTCTTATTCCTAGATTGCAGGATCAGAAATCTATGTGTGCGCTGTTGAGATTAATTATATAATTGATAATACCAGTGCCATGTTCTGGTGGCACTAATAGTAGTTTGTGTGTCTCATGCTTTCACGTTCAACAGGCACTATCCTCAGAGCATCCCTAGGAAGTATAGTGCTGTGGGAAGAGTGTTGTATTTGGAGTCAGGGGACAGGGATTTGAGCCCATGGCTCTCCCAGCTTGGAGTCAAATGCTCTTTCCATCTTTGGCTCCAGTAACAATTGCTGGAGCTCTTTAGGGAAGGACTGGATGGCCAAATGTCAGAGATGTTACGGAAGGGATTCCTATCATTCCCCTCACTAGAGGACCCCTGAGTCAGCTTTGAGATTCTGTGATTCTTTGGTGTGCCTGCCGTGAGACTTGGGCGCCCAACAGTAGTGGCCAGGTGGTGGTTAGGCTCTGCTTTCCCCACACTGCTAGTGTAGCTAATTGGGTAAAATGCCTTTTGGCTAAACATCTTAGGTGGAAAAGCCTGTATCCCCAGGTCAGGTGGTCTGTACTGCCACCAAATGACTGGTATAAACAATTAGTGCTACAAGATTTTGGAGAAAGACTGGTAATTAACATTCATATGATACTTTAAAGTTTGCAAAGCACTTTATCTGTGATCTCATTTGAGCCTGGTGACAGCCCATGGAGTAGGCCCTAGAGTGTTGTTACTATTATTATCATCCCTGTTTTACATTTGTAGAAATTAAGGCTCAGAGAGGTAAATGACTTTGTTCATGGTCACACAGCAAAGTGGTATTTTTAACCAGTCTTATGAATTTCAAATCCAGCAAGATCTCTGCTCTAACACACTGCCTCTTGGGCTCCAGAGATCACAGCGGGTTGGGCTGGCTATTCTAGTGACTGTTCTGCTGAGGAGGTGGTGTTTAGCTGGGCCATAAAGGGTACTGGGGGGAAAAAAGAAAAAGAAAGGGAGTACGTAGATGAGTTAGGACAGTGGAAGCTCTTTCTAGATTATAAGGACAGTGGGAGCAGAGAGGCAGAACCAGGAATATACATGGCATTTTCAGGGGATAGTGACCAGATCCATTTGTTGGATTGGAGTGGAGGGTTCACTTGGAGAGGGGAGGAGGAGATAAGGCTGGAATAGCAGTTTGGGGACAGACCATGGAGGGGCCTTAGTTTTCATTTAATTCAGTAAACATTTATCATCCACAAGGCAGTGGAGACCCTGAGATGAACCAAAACTTAAGTCCTGGCTTTTAAGAATCATGCAGCTGAACTTACAGCTGAATGGGCAACAAGACATGTGCACAAATAGAGGGAGAGGGAGGGGGCCTACACCTCGGATTTCATTGGTGTAGGGAACTCCCCAGGAAGGATATTCCCTTGGCCTCTGTAGGTCTTCACGTTCTCTGTAACTTTCCAGGCTAAGAGAGGTATTGGGCTGAGTGAGAGGCTAAATGACTTGCCTGGGGTGACAGCTATAGTCCGAGTCAGCAGCCGGCCATGAATCTAGGCTTTCCTGGCTCTGAGGTCAGCTCTCTTTACAGAAATAAAGAATGTGACTTTGAATGTGCGAAGTGTAAAAATGGCCTCAGAGATCATCTGGTCTAGACATCTCATTTTACAGCTAAAGAAATTGAATCCCAAAGAGCTTGTTAAGTGACTTCCCTTATGTCACACCAGTGAGCATGACAGAGCTGAGGTGAGAGCCACAAGTGTCCCTGCCTCGCCACTACCAAGCTGGAGGACTGGGGTACTGGGGAGCCAGAGCTGGGGGAGGAAGATGTAGACAAGAGGGGGCCTTTGCACAGAGGTGATAGTGGAAGCTCAGAGTGGACAAGCTTGTTGAAGGAAAGAATGCAGAGAGAGGGAAAAGGGGAGGGTCAAGGACTGTGTCATGGGTCTGGCAGAGGCTGAGGTCTGGGTGTTGGGCATTTGCTAAACTCAGCCCCAGGCCAGAGTGCACAGACAAACCACTGGAGAGGATGGGTAGCAGCATCCACCAGCAGGAAATGTCTCCTCTTCACGCATACACACTCCCTTCTTCTTTCAGGGCTGTTTGCCTGTAGAGACGCTGGGTCCAGAACCTGAGACAGCCCCACAGGTCTCAGCAGATGACCATCCACGAACCTTGGATGGAGAGGGTAATTAGGCCCCGTGAGGGAGCTAGGAAGTTTTGGCAGGGGGAGGGGGGGAGCAGGTGTGCTTCTGTCATCTGGGTTCCCTTGCCCCCCTTTTGCTGCCTGTCACCTCAGCCTCACACACTGCCTCCCCTATGTGTCCATTGATTTCCCTGTCCTTGCCCTTTACTCATTCCACACTGGGGCAAGAGAGACTTGTTAGGCATATGGGGGCCAGGACTTATGGAGGAGGCTGAGTAGGAATTTGGAGAGTGTTCCCTGAGCCTTCTTCCTGACTCCCACCCGCAGCACCTACTGTTCACAAGAACTCCCCTGACCAGCCTGGTACCTGCCCGCTAGAGGAGACGGACATCAAGGTAGACCTCTCGCAGGGGAAGGCAAGGAGGCTAGAAGGATTGGGAATTGGTGTACATCTATGGCTTCTATCAGATTGCATGTCGTCTGGGGGAGGGGGGAGGGGAAGAAGGGGGAGAAAATTTAGAACTCAAAGTCTTACGAAAGTGAATGTTGAAAATGAAAACTTAATTAATTTTTTAAAAAAAGGATTGGGAACTGGAAGACCTGGTTTCAAGTCTCAACTCTTAACTCATTGAAGTGACTTGTGACTCTGAGACTCTTGTCTCCTCTTCTGTGAAATGGCAATGAGGAGCCAAAGACACGCTCAGGGCTCTTACCCTGTGTCAGGTTTCCCTGGAAAGCAACGGCAAGAGCTTGGACCCACCAAGTCCAATTGAAGAGCAAACCAAGGTCGAGCAGCCAGCGGACACAGAAGGGGCAGAGGTGGAATCGGGCATCCTGGATCACAGGGAGCCAAGCCCTCCAAAGAACAGCCCTCGGTCCTTAAAGCAGGTAAGAATCCCATCTCCATCTCGACTTTGTCTGTCCTTTTCTACCCAGCGGCAATCATAGTGCCTTCCATCTGCCCCTCAGGCCCTCCCCAGAGCTCCGGTCTGCCATCGCAGATCGCTTTCGTGGAAGGCAGAGACAGAAGGCCTGAGCCCTGAGCCTAGCATTGCCCCTTATGACACACGTGACCTTGGGCCAGTCACTTAACCTTTAATGCTTCTTGTTTTCCAAGTGCTTTCCTGTCTGAGCCTAGCAGCAGTTGTTAGATGGGCAGGGCAGTCCTTGTTATCTTCTTGTTGCAGGTGTGGAAACTGAGCCTCAGTGCTGCATGGCTAGTGAGTGCTGGAGCTGACTTCTGGTCAGCAGGGGCTCCAGCCATTACTCTCTTTCTCTCTCTCTCTCTCCCTCCACCTTTTTTCTGCATGTCTTTGTGGCTTCATGTTTTTCTCTGCCTCTGACCATAGGCTCTTGAACTCGTAGCTAACTCTCCTCTTTTCCCTTTCCTCACTTGCAGATCAGGTTGGCGAGGAATTCAGCTCAAGCAGTGAAGATGACCTCGATGTGGAGGGCCTGAGGAGACGCCGGGGCCGGGAGTCTAGCCCACTCCGTTCCCCAGCCTCCTTGGGTGTACACGATCAGGCCAGCGGTGAAGGAGGAAGTGGGGAGCTCAGGCTCACCCTGAACACTTGTCTCCTCGGAGCTCTGGTCCTTGTAGGGCTTGGCTTCCTCTTCTTCTCTGGTGAGCGACTGGGGCCCTTCCTGCCCTCCCCTGCTGCTCTTCTCTCCAAATCTTGCTCCTCTCTTGTCCTCCCTTTCTCCTGCCACTCTCCTGATTCTGCTGTTCTTCTCCCTGCCCCTCACCCCCACTTTGATGCCAGAGGGGACTCACCCAGACTCCTCTCTATCTGTCTCCAGGTGCTTTCTCTGACCTTGAGGCTAGTGAGTGGGAAGGGGGCCTAGCTCAGGTGTATGTGTAACGTCTTAGTTCTCAGGGGGAAGAGAATGTATTGTAATATCTTCCCCTGACTGAATGTCTTGGGGCTGGGGATTGAAGGGAGAATGAATGATTAGCTCTTTCTTTTCCAATATATAAAATATGTTTAAGGATAACCCCAAGTTGTAGTGAGCTGGGAGGAAGGAAGGAGGGAGAGGAAGATGAAGAGGCAGAGGGGGTGTGTGTGTGTGTGTGTGTGTGTGTGTGTACACACCTCTAACCACACTGTAAAACTACTGAGTTGGTTTCAGATCATTCGTTGTTTTGTAGAATTTGGGTAGGCTAGCGAGTGGCCAGCTTTCCAGACTGTCTTTCTTTCTTTGCTAGGGCCAGCGGAGAACGTGGAGCCACAAGTGACCCCAGAGTCTGAGTCTCAGGACATTGAGGACATCCAGGTTGTGTTTGTGTGTCTCTGTGTGTCTGAGTGCTCCCTTCCATTTGTAAATACTTGTGCAGAGGCTTGCAGAGGGCCGGTTCTGGTGATGCATATGTGACCCCCAGCTTTCCTATCCCCAAGGATGGACTGAGGCAGCAGCAACAGTCCTATTCCCCGCCTGGAAGTCTCCCGAGCCTCCAGTCCATGAGCCTTCTGCTGGACAAGCTGGCCAAGGAGAACCAAGACATCCGGCTCCTTCAGGCCCAGTTGCAGGTAGACAGTGGACTGGTTGTTGAATGAATGACTGAGGGAAGTGAACTTATTATTAGGGTATTACTGCTAATGATGATGGTGAGGATAAGTAGAGATAGTGGGAAAAGCCTTGGCCTTGTGGTGAGGAAGCCTGTTCCTAATACTTACTATTCCTGAAAGCTTAGGTAAGTCACCTCCCTGCTATGGCCCTCGGTATCTTCATCTGTGGAATGTGGGGATTGGATTAATTTGTCTCTGAGATCCCTTCTAGTTCTGAGATTCTATGATTCTGTCAAGAGGAGAGCTTCCCTGTCTGGGTGATGGGGGCAGGGTCCTTCCTCTGACAGGGACAGCCTGTGTCCTTGTGATTAGATTCTTGTCTCCCCGGGAGCTTCTTCCCCCTTTAGGCCGTGACTGCTAGCTCAGCTCCCTCCCCTGTCTTCTTTCTCCTGCCAGGCTCAGAAGGAAGAACTCCAGAACTTGCTACACAGACACCCAGGGCTGGAGGAGGAGAATGAGAGGCTCCGGGGGGCCCTGCAGCAGCGAGAAGCCTCCCAGCAGCTGCTGGAATCTGAGATGCAGGAGCTGCGGAGCCGCCTGGGGGAGCTAGAGGAGACTTACTCAAGGGGGGTGGATGGGACCTGCAACAGCCAGAAAGCAGGGAAGACCCCACAGGAGGCAGCTCCTGGGCTGGCAGAGCCCCGGGGTTTCCTGGAGCAGAAGGAGCGGCTGGAGGCCGAGGCCCAGATCCTGCGCAGGGAGCTGGAGAAGCAGAGAGTGCTGCTGAGCTCGGTGCAGAGGGATCTGGAGAGGAGCCTTCACCAGTCAGGGTTGGGGGACAGGGACCGAGCAGGTCTGGCTGAGTTGGGTCGAAAGCTGGCTGAGGAGCTTCAGGGAGCAGAGAGCGGGGACCCCAGGAAAGGCCAGGCTGCCAGGGCTCTGGCCAACACATCCGAGGCCTGGGGCCAAGGAGAGGCCCACTTCATGAGCCCCAGGGAGCTTAGTCAGAAGGAGAAATGGAAGGACAGGCAAGGGGACCGCAAGGCAGAGAAATGGAAGCGCAAGAAGGAGGAATCTGTTGGGGAGGGGAAGAAGAGCTTCAGGGGCAAAGGAGATGGGGAGTCAGTAGAGAGGTGGAAGGCCGAGAAGCTAGGCACGGCAGAACTGGGGGGCAAGGACGGCAGGGAATGGAAAGGTATAAAGGAGCATCCCAAGAAGAGCTGGGGAGGCACAAGAGGGAGTGAGGGGCCCCACCCATCCTGGGAGGGGCAGAAGCACCCAGCACAGAGGGAAGGGACCAAGGGGAGTGGCCCTGGCCGTTATGATCCCCAGCTGGCCTGGAAGAAGGTGCTGGACCGAAAGTACCGGGTGCCTCAGGGCTGCTCGGGTGTAACTGAGTGTGCGCGCCAGGAGGGGCTGTCCATGTTTGGTGTGGAGTTGCTACCGGTTCGGAAGCAGGAGCTGGTGTCTCTGCTGCAGAAATACTTGGCTCGGCTGCCCTGGGGCCAGCGGCTTCCTGAACCGCTGTCCTTTCTGTCCTCCTACTTTGGTGATGATGGCATCTTCCGCCATGACCGTCTTCGCTTCTGGGACTTTGTAGAGTCCATGGAGGACAGCCTGGAGGAGGCTGCAGTCAGAGAGACGGGTGATGACGATGAAGTCGATGACTTTGAGGATTTCATCTTTGGCCATTTCTTTGGGGACAAGGCACGGAGAAAGAGGTGTGGGAGCCCTGGGAGCAAGAAATGTGGGGCCTGCGGGAAGGACAAGGTTTGGTGGAACAGAAAGGCTGAGTGCGTTGGAGCTGGTCTGGAAAATTCTTGGTCCACTGGAGGAGTTAGAAGAGGGCTGAAGGACTAGATTGGGGTTTGACTCCGACGAGCTTCCCCTGAAAATCAGAGCTGAGGTTGGGAAAGTCTGGCTGCATTGGCTCTGCTCCTTGGCCCTTGGGGGGACCTGCCTTCCCTCTCCTGGCACCACACCATCAGCAGTTTGGGCTGAGGCCTTTCAAACCAGGAGACCGAAGCTATAGCTCAGCTGAGGGACAGTAGTGGTCATTCACCAGTGGAAGTCGCTCCCATAGGCCATGGATGTTTATGTTTTATGTGTGAGGTCTTCTGGGCCGTCTCCTCCAGCAGTGGCTTTCTGTCACCTTACACTGGACTTGAGTTTTTCATCCAGACCTGTTACTTCATTGATGTAGGGAAACCCCAGAGAGGGGAATTCAACTTATGCCCTCGTCAGTCTAGTTCTTAGGTTAGCACTAACATTAACCCACCTCTTTTTCTACCTTCCATGTCTTGCAGGTCTGGGAAGAAGAAGGACAAGTATCAGAAGGGCCCCAGCAGCTCAGGGCCCAAGGAGGGGCCCAGACACTACCGGGAAGGCTGAGGAAGGGAGCTGGAGGGGCTCAGTGCCCAGGCTTTGTCCATGGCCCACTACTCTGCCCAGCCACCTGAGACACTGGGGGGCCCTAGCCTCCTTTGGTTTTTATTTATCACTGCATGTGTGTGGTGTATTTGGGGAGGTCTGTGACACAAGTTGAGGGGTGTGGGGGCATTAAAGTAGGGCCTCCCACTGACACTGGCATTGCCTCCACTCCCAGGATTAGGTAGGTTCAGTGTGGGGATATTGAGCAGGAGCAGAAAACAGAGCTCAAACCCCAGCTTGCTCAGGAGACACCACTTTAGCTTGAAAATGCTCTGACACTGCTTATGCTTATTTATGTATGTAAATACAGTTGGGCCCTCTTTACCCTCTCAGGTTCCTGGATGGCTCTGGGGCCAAGGAGGTTGTGCCAAAGTGGGCTGTTCCTCTATGTGTGAGGGTATGTGTGTGTGAGGGTGTGTGTGTGTAGGAGGTGGGGTATAGCACTGAGGGCACAGTGTGGGGGCTGAAAGGAGGAGCCAGTCCTGAGATGAAGCTTCTTTGATCAAAAGGCAGGATAAACCCTCCCTTCACCCCTTTTTTGTGTATATGTGAAGGGGATGGCAGCCGGGGCACCTAGATGACTCCTGGGAATACCCCTCACCCCTCTCCAGCCATGGTTGGTTTGGTCAGTGTGGAATGGCATTTGTGGGGCCTGGGCCTGAGGCCTTGGTGTCAACTTAGATTTGTCTGTAGGTGTAGAGTTGAGAGACTGACTCCCTTGCTTCCAGGCTTTTGACTTGGACACACAGTCAACACTGAACACAATAAAGTGCCTTTGTTAGCAATATGTACATGGGGCTTGGTGTTTAGGTGGGTAGAGGGTTGGGATTGGGGGGACTGTTCCCTGCTGGGGATCACAGACCCCAGAACTGCCCCACCTGTACCCACAGACAATAGACAGTTGGAGAAACTTTGGAGATCCATTGTCCCAGCCCCTATCTTTGATCCCAGCCTTCATCTCCAACAGTTCACTCTTGAAGGAAGCACTTAATCCCGTTGCCTGTATTCAGCCGTCATCTCTGACAGCTCCCTTTCACTCCCAACACAGCACCTCCCTTGGCACAGCCCCAGAGCTTGTTCCCCAGGTCCCTGGCATCTCTAGATAGCGGGGTGGGGGTGGGGTGGAAGGGGCACTAGGTGGCGCACTGACTTCACATTTTTGTCAGTTTTGTCACATTTTGTAATGGGCAGAGAGCCCAAAGGTCCCTGTGATCCTCTGTCTCAGCCAAGTCTAGCTGGCAGTCCTATTTCTGAATCTCTTCAAGGAAGAAGAGTCCCTATACTTTTTCTTGGTCACCTCATATGAAATCCTTCCTGAGGTCTGATCCCCATTCTACTTGCTACTGTTGGGGCTCTTGACCCTTTCCTCTTAGAAAAGCTCCCAACTTAGACTTAAGGGCAGAATGGTATTTCTGGGTGGCTGAATCTGACTCCTGGGAATGGGGGGTGGGGAGGGAAGAGCTGAAAGATCCATAGTGACTTATGCCATTACCTGGGTACAAGGGGACCCAGAGCCTGGGGGAAATTGGAGGAGGCAGGGTTTGAGGGGAAAGACTCTCAGCCTTGGGAGATGAGTGAGACATGTGGAGCCCAAGAAGTAAAGGAGTCAGAGACAGTTGGGGAGGCTATTCTGCTGGGAATCAAGAAAGGCAGTTGGCAATGCAGGTCACTACAAAAAGACACCAGAATTAGACCTCAGGAGGAGTACAGCTATGAAGGATGTTAGAAAACAGAACAGATGATGGAGGGCAGGAGGAGGGGAGGGAACTTTAGGAAGGAGCTGAAGGTGGCAGGATCCCCCAGAAGCAGGAGCTGCATAAAGCCTCCTACTTCTACTTAGCTCTTTTGTCCCTGGGCTCACCGTAAAAGGTGATTCCTTTGTATCTGGATGTCAAAGAACAGTGTGGGTAGGGCACTTGTTCTTGGAGATTTCAATGTGCTAGAAGCAGGAGCTTCCAATCTCACCATGCCCCTTCCCTGTGCCCTTAATTTACTGGTTTAGTCACTGGAATGAATTAGGACTTCAGAGCTGGAAGGATTAAAACCTTAGAGCTCATGTGGTCCAACTTCTCATTTTACAAGTTAGACCCGTGAGGCTTGGAAAGGGGACTTGCTCGAGATTAACGAATCTCTTCAGATGTAGGTCTAGAAGCCAGCTTGGTCTTCTAGCTCCTCATTTTTTTCCAGAACCCCCATGCCAGCAAGAGGGAGGAAGAAGGCAGAGCTGGAAACTTTATTTAGCTTCATAGAATCAAATGATTTAGAACTGGAAGGGACCTTTGAGGTCAACTAGTCTAACTCCCTCATTTTTACAGCTGAGGAAACAGAGGCCCAATAAAGGGACACCCAAGGCCTCCGTGGAAGAATTTGTTAACTAAGTGTGGACTGGAATGCCCAGGGAGGGGAAAATTAGAGGGAAGTAAAAATCACTGACTGGGCATAGAGAGGAAGTATTTATTAAGGGCCTATTATGTGCCAGGCACTGTACAGCCCTGCAAAGTAGCTGTTATCTCCATTTTATAGTTGAAGAAACTGAGGCAAAAGGGTTAAGTGACTGGGCCAGGGTCACATAGCTAGTGTCTGAGACTGGATTTGAACTTGGGTCTATCCTGACTCCAGGTCCAGCCCTCTATCCACAGGACAACCTAGCTGCCAAGGAAGAGATAGAGAAAAGAAGGGTAGGTCAAACAGAATGGACTTTAGCTTTGGCTTATCTAGGCAGAGACTCTAACCTATGCATTTCCAGTACTGCCTCTGGGCTCAGCACACAGCAAGTTGGCAGATAAGTTAACTGACTGTATTTAAACTTTAGCCAGTAGGATCCTAGGGTTTTTACAGCTGACAAGAACCTGTCATCTCCTGAATCACCTTCATTTTACTGGTAAATATCATTACTCTCCTGAGGGCAGGGATGATTTCATTTCTATTTTCCTAGTACCAGAGGCAGTCCCTTGCATAAAGCATGTGGTTAAGAAACGTTTGCTGAATGAAGGAAACAGACCTAGAAAGGGGAAGAGGCTACTACAAAAAGTGATAAGGGCAGAATTTAAATCCCAGAATTCAGGACCCTGCTACGGACAGGGGGTTCGGATCATCCTGGAAGGTCCTCAGAGCTGCCATGCTCAACGTCCTGGGATAGGCCTGGACAGGAGAAGGGTGGCCTGCCCTTTCAGGGTCTCACAGGGTGCTGACTCTGTATGTTTGGATCTGGTTTTTAAACCTTTCAAACAGTTTCGATTCTCAGGTTTCTTTTCTTTCATTTGCATAACGAGCTTTAGGGGTGGCTAGGAGGTTCCCCCAGTTCCTCTACCCCTCAGGAAACAGACATGCTGAGCTAGAGGTTTTTGAAGCAGCTGAGTCAGAGGAAAAAACAAGAGGCACACCTCAGTGCCCTGTCCCCCAATCAAAGCCCCTCTCCAGGCCTCAGTTTCCTCTCTCTGTCCTGGGGAATCATAGGATTCAGGGATGAAGGGGATCCTAGAGATCATCCCTCTTGCCCAGGAGTTCTTAACCTGAAGTACATTAATTAAAAATTTTTAACTTTTAAAATTTATTTTATTTTTTTATTGATAATTGGGGTTAAGTGACTTGCCCAGAGTCACACAGCTAGTAGGTGTCTGAGGCTGGATTTGAACTCAGGTCCCTCCTGACTCTGGGGCTACAGCTATATCCACTGTGCCACCTAGCTGCCCTGCCACCCTTTTTGAGACTGGGTCTCCCTCTCTCTTCCAGGATGGAAGTTCAGTGGGCACTCACTGTCTAGTCCCACTGTGGATGAGTCTAGAAGCTTTGACCTGCACTGTTTCCACCTGGGCCAGTTCACCCCTTCTTAGGCAGCCTGGTGGCATCCCTACTACCACTATCTCGGTGCCCAACTTAGTCCTACTACATCTCAAACTCCTGAGCTCAAGTGATACAGCAGCCTTAGCCTCCCCCAGGGAAAGGGACAGCACATTTTATTAAGAGTCTACTATGTGCCAGGGACCAGACTATAAGCTTAACAAATATCGATTCATTTGATCTTCACAACAACTCTGAGATGTTATTATTACCCCCATTTTACAGTTGAGAAAACAGAAGCAGACAGAGGTTAAGTGACTTGTCCAGCATTACACAGCTAGTAAGTTTCTGAGGCTGGATTTGAACTCACATCTTCCTGACATTGGGCCCAATATTCTATCCACTTGGACCACCTAATCAGGATTACAGGCATGTACCACCAGTCTGAATCCAGTGTTCTTTCCTCTTGCTAGGAGTTATTAGCCTAGAGTCTGTTAATTAAAGAAAAAAATTTGATAATTATGGATTTTTTTGGAATAAGTTATTGATCTTTTGTTTTTTACATCACCATAGTTTCCCCCAGTATGCCTCTCCAACCCCCTCCAGAAAACCTTCCCATATGACAAACAGTATTTTTTAAAGAAAAAAAAAGGAAAAGAGGGAAAAAATCAGCATAATAGATCAACATGTCAAAAAAAGTCTGTGAACATATTCAATGTACGACACTTAACAGACCTCCTGCCTCTGCAAAAGGCTGAGCCAAGGGTATCTTCTAATATCATAGATTCAATAGAATTGGTTTCCTTAGCAGTCCTATGTGTTTTATTTTATGCGTTTAAAAACATGATTCTGAGAAGGGGGTCACTAGGCTTCAATCATCTAGTTTGCCTTCCTCATTTGAGCAGATTAAGTGTTCCATCTTTTCTCCTGCTACTTCAGGAGATAGGAGGATGCTTAGAGATCCCTGGGTTGTTCCTTTCCATACTGCCCTGGGGATGCTTGCTTCTCTCTTTCCCCACCTTTCCTTCTAGGAAAGACTGGGTTAGGGTGGGGCGCCAGTGAATGTGAGTTATTGGTTGTAGTAGACCCTGGAGGAAAGAGGCATGGGAGAGTAGAGGAGAGAGTGGGTAGAGTATGAGATGGTCAGCTTACTCCGAGAGCCAACGCCTACCTGTGATTCTGACCAGCTTTGGTGTCTCAGTCCCCTACATCATGCAGGAACCTCACACCATTCAGAGATCGGGGGAACGGAGTAGAGATCTAGGTCAGAAGGAAAAGAGAATATCTTCATATTCTCCGATATCTTCACTTCCTTTCCACAGGGCTCCTGGTTGGGGTGGAGGGGCTCTGGTCCCAAGGACAAAGACCTCACACCCATTAAGGCTCTTGCCATGAGAACCTACCTCCAGAACTATCACTCCATAGTGGAAGCCAGCATAGTAAAGGGCAGACAATGACGGATTTGGAGTCAGAAGATATGGGTTTGAATTCTGGTTGTGACATTCAGTATCTGTGTGGCCAGCCTGTCTGAGCCTTAGCTTCCTCATCTGTAAAATAAGGATAATAATGCTTGCTTTACGTGCTTCAGAGGGTTGTTGTGGGGAAGGTGTCTTGTCAACCTTAGAGTACCATGTGTAAGAATGTGTGTGTACCCTGTAAGACATGTAGGTCCACATGGATTGTCTGAAGTGTGGCTTGTGGGAGGCATAAATAGATAATCTCTGGAATCCTGCCTGTCCCTCACCAAGAGTGGCTACAAGTCTTGAGGGGAGCAGGAGAAGGCAGTGCAAAGTCAGCTATTAACAGGGTCATCTGAAGGATCCTACCATGGCCAAAGAAGTTCTCTTCAAAGAAGCTGGGTTCTTGCACTGGAGCTCCATGTGAATTTTTATAAACGGAAAGTCTTTACTTTGGACGGATTTGTATAAACTCTGCATTGGTCTGTGCTCTTCTGACTCGATCATATTTCAGATTATTTGTCTCTTTCTTAAATTCCTTTGTTCTTTTCTGTCCCAACTTCTTTCTCTTTCCCCCTCCTTCCCAAACTCACTAGGGGAGAGGAGTGGCCACTGGGCCAATAGGCCTGGCCTGCTGCAGTGCTGGTCCATACCCAAACATGTTTCACCCAGGTTAGGAACAGTCCTAGGGGAAGATGTCTAGACCCTGCCTGGGCTCCCCACTCACTGGAGACCACACTTCTTTCTCTCATTGTACAGAATCAGTCTCTCTGTTCTTAACAGAGTTAGAAAGGAATAAGGCCCCCTGCTCAGAATGATAGGCCTTGGGGATCTTTCTCCTTTCCTCCTTAGGGCCTTTTGGTCTTTTCCTTTTCCAAACTGAAGAATCTTAGTACATTTAACCAGTTTTATTGTTCAGTTGTTTCAGTCGTGTCCAACTCTTCATGATCCCATTTGAGGTTTTCTTGGCAAAGAGACTGTAGTGGTTTGCTATTTCCATCTCCAGCTCATTTGACAGATGAGGAAACTGAGGTAAACAGGGTTAAGTGACTTGACCAGGGCATTTAACCAGTGCTTACAAGTAATTCCCTAGTACTCTACCCTGGTCTGGGTCTCCAATCTAAATTCTCCCCTCCAGCCAGTTCTCATTCCACCTTTCTCAATAGGCTACCCTTTCCCCAAAGAATGTCCCCCCCCCTTCAGTGATCTGCAGCCTCCTTCCTTATACATGTATTTGCCTCAGTCTTCTCAGCTATAAAATGGAATAACAGCCACTATTTCACAGGGTGGTTGTGAGGATGGAATGAGATATTTGCAAAGCCTTTAGCATAGTGCCTGGCACATGGTAGGCGCTATGCACTTATCCCCTTTCCCTTCTTTCCCTCTTCTCTATTGTTTTCTAGTCCCCACTCCTCCCCCTCAGTGTTTACCCAGACTCCTTCCCTCTTCTACTGTCTGGCTTTATCCAGCCTCTTTGCATTCCAGTAAGAGAGCTCCAGGTTCCCTTTGGCATGAATAACTAACTGCAGGCAACCGACTAAACGTGTCCTTTGCGCTAAGCACAAAGATGGACAAAACTTGGCTCCTGCCATCTAGGAGCTCACCAGTTATAGAAGGATGAGACATGTAAATGGAGACCAAATGCATAACTAAAATAGAGGGAGAACGTGATGAGTGCACAGCAGCGGGAGGTCATAGGGGGAGGGTGGAGATTCCGGGAGGGGGCAGAGCGGAGGGCTTAATGGACCATGTGACACCTTAGATGAACCTTGAAGAAAGGAGAGTCCACTAAGTGTGGGAGGAGGAGGGGAGGAAGTCCCAGGACAGGGTGGGAGGAATTCTCCCCTCCTTTTTCTTATTCTTCCTGACCTGACCGACCAGGACTGGCATTCATTCTCCAGTGAAGACTCCACAGTTTCTATCTCCCTTCTGGCAACATGACCTTCCTCATTAACACTTGTGGACATAAAGTTCTTAACTTTGGTTAGCTCCTTCCCTCATCAGCCTGCCCCAGCTGCTGTGGCCCCCAAGGACAGAAGCTGCATCAGGTCTAGCTGTTGCCCCGGGAAACTGTCAAGGCTATCTGGGACTGACCCAGTACAGCAGCATCCATTCAGACTCAGGGGACTTTCAGAATCTCAGAAGTTTCTATCTTCACTCTTTTTCCATACTTAGGGGCCTGGAGGGGGCACAAAACAGGCTTTCAGATGTCAGTTATGCTGAATCCAATCTCTGACCTGGACTTCACACCTTGTTGGTAAACAGTAGTTTGGGTCCTTGCCTGAGCCTTGGTTCTCCTGCTTCTTCCTCCAACCCACACTGGAGAGACTTTCGTCACAAGCTGAGAGTGGGACCGGAGCTCACCACTGGAGAACTGACTTTGAACCTGAAGGTAACACTTATGCTTTTGCCCATCTATCTTTGATTCCCTGTGCCCCACCCATGGCCGATTCTCTTTTATCTTCCTTGCCCCCACCGTCCTTCCCTTGGGAACTCAGAACGCCCCAGGACTCAGGCTATCAACAACAGCTTGCTAATCATCTTGGAGGCAGCTCCAGCTAATGAAAACCAACCAGGAACTGAGCTAGAAATCCTCATCCCAAATAATGTAATCACTGAAGGCCCAGACAACTCTGATTGAATCAATCAGTCAATCAATTAATCAATCAAACAAACTAGGTGTGACTAAGTCCTTAATCAATTTGAGTGGAATAAAGTGCTTTGATCTGATGATCCCACACAAGAAACATTTTGTGGTTGGCTGAAAGAATCAGACATTGTCTTCCAGCGTTCGAAGTCCAGTGACAAGACAAAAGTCAAGTGATGGCTCAGGATGCAGTGGATGGGTCTTCAGTGTCTGACCAAGCTCTAAGCACTCCACAGAGCCTGCTGCAGCTGCCTTCATGGCCATCAGAACAGAGCGTTCTCATCTGCCCATTCTGCCTGCCGTCCTTGGGGTAGACACCCCCCCTAATTCACCAATGGGTTTGAGGCCTATTGGTTACCCTCAACCTGGTTTAGCCCATCTGCTGAGATGGTTTACGGGGTGCGGCTGCCGCACATGCTACAGCTTCTGGTGAGATTGAGTCCTCTCTGTGGCTGACTCTCCCAGACTTTCTCTACAATGCCCCAGAAATTTCTTCACCCTGGAAGCTCATTTTACTGCCTGGACTTCACACAGTGGAAGCCCCATCAGACCCTTCGGTCTCTTCTTCTGATTGGCTAGTTCCTCCCAGAATCTCCATTTTAAGGAAGAGGCCCAGGCCAGCTATGTCTTCATTCCTCTCTACGCTATACTGATTCTCCAGTTTCTCTATAATCCCTGCCACCCATATCTCTTCCCCACCCCCCTTCCCTAACAGGTACCTTCATCTTTTCCTCACTGCCCCACCTTTTTAGGATAATCAATAGAGGAAAGGCATGAGCATTAAGGAGGATCAGGAAAGTTTCCTTCTAGAGGGTGAAATTTTAGCTGGAACCTGAAGGAAGCCAGGCAAGCCAGGAGGATACTGAAATTGTCATTGGTTAAGATGCCTAGCTAATCACAGAAACCAAATGCCAGCCTTGGGTGGTGAGGAACAGAGCATTAGCCAAGCTGATGATGCCTTGTAGGACTGCAAGAGGGAGGTATCAGAAGCCTTGGGTTCAGGCATGGTCAACCTGCTTTGTGAGTGAAGTTCTCCCCTTGGATGTCCTGCTAGCTAACTAGTACCCAGGACCTGGAGGCCCTCTTGTCCCCACAGACGACTTGCAAGATCAGGTTGCATCATCAACCAACTAGATGGACACTGAGACTTCTGGAGATGGGGCTTTGCCTGTTGGGGCTAGAAGGCCATCCCCTTTGATGGCTCCCTTGACTGATACTCAGGCAAATCAGAACATTATAACTTTTCTTCAGATAGAAGTGCTGGCTTTCGTATCTTACCATGTAGGTGGATGGATCCCATGATGGGTCATCAGGGAAAAAAAACCCAAAACAAAACAAACAAATCAGAAAAGGGTCCCCTTTGTTCACCAGGCTTCCCATCTGACAAATCCTCTGGTGTGGCTAGGCTTCACACCACCACTTTGTCTGATGCCTGTGTTTCCCAGTGGATGAAGAACAGGGTCTGGGGGCCACAGGTTCCCCACCCCTGACTCTGGGCATTAGAACCACTTTCTTCTGCTTACTCTGGTCCCATTTTCTTTTTGTCTGATTGACACATAAAAGCATTAGAAAGTGAGCTTTGTCTCCTGCCTTGTTTTGTATCCTCAACAGATAACATAGTGCCTGCACACAGTAGGTGCCTAATAAATGCTTGTTGATGTTGACTTTTTTTTTTCTGGCAAGGCAATGTGGTGAAGCAATTTGCCCAGGGTCACACAGCTAGTAAGTGTCAAGTGTCTGAGATCAGATTTGAACTCCAGGTCCTCCTGACTTCAGGGCAGGTGCTCTATCCACTGTGCCACCTAGCTGCCTCTAGAACTGGGAATCTTACAGGAACCTCCAGCTACATCCCAGAGAGAAGAAAATGCTGATGCCTATTCACAGAGACTGGGATTTAGAGGAGCCGGAGGCTGTTTGCTGCTGGTATTTGTGTGGATTTGTGGGGCTAGGTTGGGTTGCTACCAAACTTTGCCCTTCTGTTTTGCAAAAGGAGGGAAAAAAAAGAGAAAGATTTAGAAAAATTATGGTTTTCTGCTTGTGGCCTTTCTTGATCCCTCTAAGGGCTACTGTCTTCCTTGTCATGGTCATGTTGCATTTTATTTGTATAGGTCTGGCATAGACCTTTATGAGTACATGTTTTCTTCATTATTGGGTATGCAAGCTTTTGTCTTTCCATTGCCAGGACTTGGCACAGTGCTTGGCACTAGATACTGCTTAATAAATGCTTGTTGAAGGAAAGAGAAATCATAAGAGACTTATTAAGGTTGAACTGTTTACATTCCTGCATGGAAGGATGGTATTTATAACTCATGAGACATTTGTCAGTATTAGGGTAGTTGGAGGGAAAAAAATTATATGTATGTATAAATAAATGCTTGTTGATCAATTGATTTTCTTTAGCCACTCCTTGGGCTTGAGGGTCAGGTTAAGAAGGAGGGTTGAATCCCAACTCCCCTCCCTATGTTTGGAGAAGGCCTTTCTACAAAATCAGATTTAGTTTCTCCCACAAAGACCTTTCTCTCTCCTTACTTTTCCCCATCTGCAACCTCCTCTCCATCCTTCTTCCCTAGAGATGTACTCAGCCCCAGAATGCCAATGGTACCAGGGATGAAGGGCTAAGTACTAAGGATACTAGGTACTAAGGGCTAGGGGTGGAGCCAACATGGAGGCAGATATATTAACAGGCTGACAGTCACCAACTCAGGAGAGAACTGGTGCAACTTTCTTACTTTTTTTTTTGTTTTTGGCTAGGCAGTGGGGTTAAGTGACTTGCCCAGGGTCACACAGCTAGTAAGTGTTATGTGTCTGAGGCCGAATTTGAACTCAGGTCCTTCTGAATCCAGGGCTGCTGCTCTATCCACTGCGCCACCTAGCTGCCTTAACTTTCTCCTGGGGACCTCTCCTCTATTCCTCTACCCCACTTATCAGCTCTCTTTTGCAGCATGGCTAATGTGACCTTGGGTTGGTAGTACCTTGAATAGAGGAATCAAGTTTTGAGGTCACTTTCCCCCCTCTGTTGAATCCCAGGGAAAATTCCCTGTGACTTAATTCAGATCCTACCTAGAGGATGTGGAGGTTATTGTGAGGACTGAATGAAATAATGTACCTAAAGTGCTTTGCAAATCTTATTATTCTCAGCTAAGTTGAACCTTGGATACAGCAATGGTGACCGGAGTCAAGAGGACCTAAATTCAAATCCTTGCTCTGCCTCCTCCCTTAGCTATGAAAGCTTCCAAACTTTCAGGGTAGTTGTAACCGTTAACCCCAACCAGTAGCAGTACAGGTAAGAAAACTTCCTAACTAAGTTATAGAATCAATCTATAAATTCAATTCAATAAACATTTGTTAAGCACCTACTGAGTGCCAGGCACTGTGCTGGGAAGAATCCCTAGATACTCTATTGAATCAGTCAGTCAGAGGTATAAACTAGGTACAAAGAGTGAAATGGATTAAAAAAGTCATTTGATAAAAATTAGATGACAAAATGTATTAGAATTAGCTAAAAGAATTAGACACCAATTCAGGCCTATGTATAGCAGACAAGGAGATTCCAGTGGGAGCATTTCAGCAACTACACTGAGGGTTCAACTTTGGGAGCTCTTTGAGGAGCTGGAACCAGAGAGCAGCAAGATGGGAAGGGGGAGGAGAAGTTTGAAGCAATGTTTCCCCAGTAACAGGGGCCAGTAACAAACAATTCATCCATCTAGAATGAAGTTTCAGGGTCCCTGCACTCAGACCCTAGCAGAGAGTTACATCTACCCAAGGAGAACTTTATGAAGAGAGGAAAGGACTTCCATCCAAGTAAGAGCTATGAGGTAGCTCCTTTGCTACATATGTTCTCTAAGATCAAGCCCACTTTCCTGTGGATTCTGTATGTACTTGTGGGAGAAAGTGTCTGACTTTTTTTTTTTGGGTGGGGTGATGTTTTTGTACCAATTGTTCCTACTATAATTGTCTGGCTAGTTGATAATTAATGAGAAGCATACTGTATGGGGGCTCATGAGCTAGAATACTAGAAAACTGCCCCCTAGCCTCTTGCGTTACCTCTAGAACCTTGAGAGGAGAATGCTAGGGAGCCAGTGAATGGGAATGGGGAATTATCCCTAGGGGAAATGTTACCAGAGTTAGATCGGGGTTTGGGAGGCTCTGAAGGAAAGTATGGGAGAGAAGAGGTATTAGACTGCTTTCCTACCAAACCGAAGGTCTACTGAGCAGTTGTGCTGACTTCATTATGCCTGTGAAACCTGGACAGTCTACCAGTGCCATGTCAGGAAAATAAATTGGTTCCATTTCAATTGTCTTAGGAAGATTCTGATCCCCTGGCAAGATTAGGTACCTGATACTGATGTCCTTTCTTGAGCTGAACTGCCAAGCATTCAAACTCTACCGCAGAGAGTGTAATTCTGATTGTTTGAATGCCAAATATATGTTTGCCTAAAAGACTATTTTATGGAGAACTCACACAAGGCAAATGCTCACATGGAGGTCAGAAGAAGTGATACAAGGATACTCTCAAGGTCTCCCTGAGGAACTTTGGAGTCGATTGTGAGACGTGGGAAACACTGGCGCAGGACTATCCAAGGTGGTGTGCCCGCATCAAAGAAGGCACTGTGCTTTATGAGCAAAGCAGAATTGCAGTAGCTCAAGAGAAATGTGAGATGTATAAATTTGGGGACAGCTCCAGTTCAAATTTTCATATGGACTCCTGACCTGTGGTAGAGCCTTCCAAGCTTGTATTGGTCTGA